GGCTCATGGTGTATGATCAATATCCAAATATAAGAGGAAATGAGCAAATAAGGAAAATTATAAATATTTTAATTATTGAAAAAGAGTGTGAAAAAAAACTTCCTTTTATCTTTTTTTCTTCCTTTTTTATGATATTGTAATTTTTTTTTGAATTGGGGTCTGAAGTTTGAATTGTGGGCAGAGTCGTTGTTGGAGCCCTTTTTTCTACGCCCACTTGCCAACACACGCATACAAAGTAGAACGCAAACAGAAATAGGTAGGTTGGTAGGTAGATAGATATATAGATAAATGGAGAGAGAGAGAGCCCAACAGCATTGGCAAGTCAAGACCAAATTCAACAATCCATCTATCAAAATTGAACACTTGTTACTTCCTAGAATAGTGTTAGAGAATCAAGTGCAAAAGCCTCCACCAAACAGAATCAAACACCACAAAAGAGGTTACCTCTATTTGTGATGGCTATAGCATTGAACCTTCACCAAACCACACTAACATCACCATCTCCAATATTATTGAGTACATTTTAGACATCTTACTACCTTTTCTATTATTTTATTACAGAATACACTTTTTTGTTCATGCTATTTTATTCTTTAGACAAAACAAATCTGGGTTCTTATTTATCCACTACTTTTTTTTACACATCATAGTCGAGGTGGAACTGTGGAAGCAGAAGATGGGTTCATCTGCTTCTCTACATCATCCTTATCTCATGTGCCAACTTTAATTCTTACAGAAATAGGCAATTTCTTTTCCTCTCCCTTTCCATTTGAATTTTTTTGAAGAAAATTCAAGGGTTTCTAAGGGGAGGTGCAATGTATTGGTCGGCATAATGAGGTGGGTGTGGACCTAAGAAGACTCCTGGCAACATTTAACAACAGAATACATTTAGCCTACACAATTCTATAATAAGATTTGATATAAAATATATAAGGATAATGTTAAATTCGTTGCATTAATAAAAAATTGTCAAGGGTAAGATAAAAAATGCAGCCCCAGAAGAGGGCAATATGCCTTTACAATCATTGCATCCATAGAAGAGGATTTGGAGGTTTAGATTATGCAGAAATATTAAAGAAAGTGTAGTGGAAGAATGAATGAGATTGGGAGAATGAAGAAAGAGTTGATGAACCCATTTGGTAATTGAGATTGTTTAGTGTTAGACTTGGGGTTTTTTATTATTAGGCTTTAGAATATGTGAGAGAACTCTAGGCCAAAGTCTGCAATTTTTTAAGATTTAAACAATCTTTTGCTTTCCCCCTTTCATGAGACGGGGATATGTGGCAGAGAAGCATGAAAAGCTTTTTGACGTTTGCCTTGAGAATGCTGGGGACTGCATCAGTTGGGGATGTCTCGGAATATCCATAGGTCGGTTGTGCCACGCCCATCCTTTTCATTGGTTTCTTAGTGGATTGTGGCTCACTCTCTCTGGTCTACTTCCAGTGTAAAAACGAGGTATCTGGCTCCTTCAATAATCATAAGTGAAATGAGTCAACGAATGAATTAGTGCATCTTCTTTCATGCATCACTTTTTTTAAGAACACAATTAATTCTCATTAAAGCAATGCAGCACCTATGTAATATACAATCTTTTAGTAAAAATAAGGATAAATTATAGATTCTTGCCCTGTATTTTAGGGATAGTGACAATTACCTCTGAATGTTTATTTAATACAAAGACCCCCTCTCTATTAAGTTTAGTATGGAAGAAGTTAATTTATCAAAATACCCACTTGAGAAATTTCTATAAAATAGAAATTACAACAAAGAAACTAAGAAACTTCTATGAATAAAACATCTAGACCAATAATAAATGTAATCGGAAAAAAAGAAAAAAACACTAAAAGGATCCTAACACTTATTTTATATAATCATAATTAGAAAGAAGGATAGTTAGGTGATTTAAAAAAGTTTAAATCACCTACCCCCAATGGAGGGGGGTCTTTACAATAAATAAATGTTTGTGAATAATTGCTGCTACCCCCAAAGTAGAAGATAGTAATATGTAATTTACCCAAAAAATAATTTATTATACGGGGCTAGAAGAACTAGGAACAGACCCAAAAAGATTTGAGTGAAAGTAATAATAAATGATTTAAGCGCCATAATTTAACAATGGATATGTAACTGATGGCCAAACAGCATTCATGTAGCCGACCTCAAGGCTTAGATGATGATGCGGTGATAATGATAAAATACAATCTTCTGCTTCCCGGAAAACGCGTTAGAATGGTTTTTGGTTGAATGAATCTATATGAAAACAAACCATAGAGTGTGGTTTCACTGGTAAGCTCTTGTCTACTACGCGCTTTAGCAGCTAAAAAGAGCAAGCTCTCAACGCGGTTCAAGAGTTTGTGGACTCCGTTCCGTTCTGCTTTTGGGCTCAAAAGGTGGAAATGTGGAATAATAACTGGAATACATTAGAGCATGAAAAGCTTGGCTTGCCACCATACCGAAGGTGACATGAGATGACCCAGTTGAATGGCATCACTGCAGGCTGCAGCCTCACCAATGAGACAGCCGGAAACTGCCTCAATATCTTCCAATTGTATATGTCCATCACTTTCACTTATGATGATAGCTTTCATGGCTTTTATATTCTCTGTTCGCTGCATGCCCCCCTCCATTTTAAGAAACCTTATCCTTTGCATCCACTCTATACTCTACATTCTTCTGGTTTGTGTCATGGTGTACCAGGTTTTGGAATGGCCCATTTGAATATTTGTGGAAGTGCTTCCACTTTTTTTATTATTTGGAGGGAGCTGCATTGTGACACATTAGCACAAACAGATCCTTAGCTTGCTTGGCTTTTTGTTTAGTCAATGTGAGGATCAATTGTAGTGCCCACACTATTCTTCTGCAAGCTTGTTAGGCTCGCTTTCAGAAAGCTCATGAATATTCAATACTATCTACTCATCAACAAAAGGTGATAAATCTTTTTGAGTTTGGTAAAGTAAAAGCTTAGTTGGGTTTTGTTGTTTGAGTTAGAAGGAAAAATAAATGAAAGCTGGAATTAGAATTTGCTTATAGGCTTTCTTTTTTTTTTTTATTTTATGTTTAATCATGTCTGAATCTCTGGAGGAAGTACCGACAGAGGTGAAGATAAGTTGACGAGTGATGATAGGTTAGGCTAACCGTCAGCTGTTGTGTCAGTAACATTTCATCTAACAAAGATACTGCAGATGCTTAATTTGATTCTGATCCTGTTAAGTTTCATTTTCGACCGACTGGAATTGGGCTGTCTCTCAAGTTCAATCTTTGAATCAGAGGTAAAGTTGAGATTTGAAAAGCTTTGTCGGATTAGAGGATCACTGATAAGACCAACAAGATTTGAGAGGAACTTTGTTCTTTTACCATGTAAAGAGTGAAAACAAGGATCTTAAGAAGCATGAAGAGAGATTAAAACATAAAAAAGCAAATGGGTGGATGATGCAACAAGTCACAACAGTAACATTTCACACGGATAGTGAACATTCCCTAAGAATCTAAAATTGTTGGTCTATTAGTTCTTGGTCCTAGATGAAGCTCTACAGGGCCTTTAAATGGGCTAAAAAAAAGTAATTTGAGGAGGGATTAATTAGTTTCCTTTGAAACAAATATGGATAAGACAAAAAGCATTTAATAAGGGTCTGCCGGTTATGACCATAGCTTTGTAAAAGTTGATGGATCCATTGTCATCAACCGGGTCAATCAAGGATCCATTATTGTTTCAGTGGACCAAGGTTCTTTCCACCACTACGAGTGAACATAAAATAAATGAATAAATAAGTAGTATATTGATCGAGAACCCATCATTAGATCGGGACAATGAACCCTTTGTTCCTTTCCATTCAAGATGACACCACTGTTACAAACTTAGATGGCTTTGCGCCATTGTTATTAGGTAGATGTGATTGAATCAAGAAGGGAACAAATTAAATCCTGTGCATCCGTGCTTCAGAAGTTGGAGGGCTCTGGCTTGCATTTGGTTTCAGCCGAAATGAAAATACACAATCAGACAGACAGATATGAGTGCCCTTATCTTCAAAAAATGATAAGAAATACCTCAGAAAATTGGAAACGTACCCTGTGAATCATAAGACTGGTTCAGACATCTTTCATTTGAGGATTTCAACTTCACCTGGATAATCATTGAATTCAAAATTTCTGATTTGGTCATTGACAATTGAACCAGAACCACCCAGCCTGGAAACTGGACACTTTGAAACGGACGGTTGGATACAATTGCAGATTGTACATCTTTTCATACACATTAATTTCAAATGCCCAAAAATAAATATTTTATTTGAACTAGACAGTAGCATTGTCGAGTTTAGTTTGTTTCTTAACCTTCAATGAATCAATGTTATCTTTTAATTTTTTTTTTTATTGTAATTAGTTATTTTTGGTCAACTGACATAACAGGCTGGTATTGAAGTGTTGAACAACATGAACCAATTGTTGCCATATCTTAAAATTGACCTATTTATTTATTTATGCCATTAAGCATTTTTAATTGTAAATCAGTCTGGTTAAGCTGTCCATCAACACCTCCATGGCTCCATACACAGAACTGACTAGGTTAAGCGTACAATGGTGGAGCCTGTGGCTTGTCATGAAAACTAGGGCAATTTCTACCAGGGTCGTTATATCCTTGAAAGTGAGACAAAAGATGGAGACAGGAAAGCAGAAATGTCACTGAGATTGCCCCTCCCTTTACCCTGATACTGAATGAATAGAAAGGCAAGAAAGCAATGGGCCAATGGTATGGCCCCTGCAATGTCTCGCAAGTCGCAACTTTTTCTGCAAGACTGTCAGGTGCGGACTGATAAAAAACGACACACGTATCTTGCCCACGAGCCGTGTGTTTGTTTTTTGAGTGGATATGGAATGACTGTAGATTCCTGCCTGTGGTCCATGAGAAATGCTTAGAAACACAGCAGATGATGTCAAGAATGCCTCATGCTGATGTCAACCAAAAGAAGGAACAGAAAGAAGAAAAAGAATTGGGATTAGAAAAATTTTCTTACAAGATGTTACAAAAGTAAAGCATTAGTAAATTATCCACTACATTTATGTATTTCCTAAATTTTCTTACATTAAAAGTTACAGAAGTCATTGCCAAAAACAGAAAGTTACAGAAGAACAAAGTTGTAACTCGCAAGTACATAAAAACACTGTATTAGCCGTATCATGGGGTAGAGTCGGTAGACAGAACAAGAGTCTACCAAGGGTATATAAATAAGATGCATGCTGCGTGCCACTCGAGGAAAAGCTTTTCACCCCTCTCTTGCTTGGCTGAGGGTTGTGTAAACATCTGAGCTGAATATTTTCTTTTGATGAATATTGAAGTACGACCACTGTTCACATGCAATCTTGACTAACGGTAGATGATAAAAATCATATCATGGCCTTACCACATATACAAAATGAAGGATAATCAAAATGATACAAACTTTACAAGGCTCAGAACCATTATGACAGATTCTGGGCTAACTTTGGATGAGTTGCTGCATAAATGGAAGAGTTGGGATCAGTTTTTAAGTGGGAAAGAAGATGCTGCAAATCTGGTCGTAAGGCCTCCATTGTTTTTCCACAGAGAGTCAAGATATCTACTTTAGGCTTACTGTTACTCTGTACTGGTCCTCCCTGCCCTTCATATAGGACAGCATGATGGCTGAGAAACACAATCAGGCTAAATACGTAAGTACTCATAATGCCACTGACTGAAGGACTAAAAAGGAATGTCAAACAGAAGATACATAGTAGATGATATGCAACAGGCACTTACAGGAAGTCGATAAGATCTGCTATTTCTGATGCTTCGGTAGGAGTGGATGGTTGTGTGTTCTTCCCAAATACATCCGCCATTGCATGGAATAACAGAGCTAAGGTCTGCCACATAGGCAATAAGATGGTAATGTTATTGTAATGAGAAAAAAAATGTAAGAGTAATTAGATATGCGTATAATTCAAGAAAACTAAATAAGTAGACAACAAAGTTAATAATGCATGCAGTTACCAGGAATGAGCAAAAGAAGGATTAGGGACTTCAAGTTTACTAATAACATTACTTTAACTGATTATCGTTCCAGTTTGAAGTTATAAAGAATTTTCAGTCACTGAAAGATAAACATGTTTAATTAGAATAGTAGCTACAATCTAAGGCGTGCTACTCATAACTGAACAATCTGGGAGCTACAAATAAGAGATGATTGCGTTGAGGTTACATTTGTAGAATCATATTTTCTTATCCATGAGAAGACCAACTATACTTCTTTCATGAATGGAAATAGCAGAGAAATACAAAGAGCTAAATTGATTAATTGATTGCACTGCTGTCTACAGGCTGCAGGTTCAATAAAGCCTACCTCTTCTGGAAAAAGAAGAAACATTTAGGGATGAATTTATACCTTCACGAAGGGTTGTTTAGCACAGGAAAGTCTTGGGAGCAGTGGACCCATTATGCGGAACACAATTCTCAACATTGCAACAGATGTTAGTGGTCTAAGGTTCTTAATGATTGCATGTGTCCCTTCCAGCCACTCCAGTGGAAGGTTACTGAAGAAAGCATGGAGAAGTGCAACTATATTACCTGATGAGAAAAAAAGGTACACAGTATTGTCAGAGTTGCACCTTGTAAGCAAGTGCAGGTAAAAACATGAAAAGTTGCTCAACTAAACAATTGCTCATAAGAATAAGAAATGAGACAAAGGAATGAATATTTCCGTTCAGGAATAAACTAAGATTGGGTCCAATAGGAGCAGTTACATGTTTTTATCATGTTATAAGGTAAATTACTTAAACTTCCCCTGTAGTTTCTCACAACTGCTCAGTGTTTTAAAAGGCATAGAAGGCGTACGCCTGGAGGCGTGCCTCCAGGCGAGGTGCTCCCAAAACGCCCTGAGGCGTATGCCAGAGGCGTTGACACCTCTGAAGAGGCGTACTCCTCTTGTGCCTTTTTCATGAGGCGTGCTAGAGGCGTACGCCTCATGCACATCTGATATAAAAAGACGAGAAAAAAAAGGAAAGGAATGGAAAGGAAAAGAAAGGGAAGGGAAAGAAAAAGAAAGAGAAGAAAAAAAAGAGAAGGAAAAAGGAAAGGGAAGGGAAGGGAAGAAAAGATAAGGGGAAAGAAAGTGGTTTGCCCCCTACCCCTTCGGCTGGGGGGCTTTGCCCCCCCGACC